GACCATAGGAGCATGAGGTGAGGGGGATATTATCATTGGAATCATGAATTCTTTCACGTTTCCCTCCTCCCTGTCTTTTTTTTTTTTTTGTATGCATGAGACGACCCAGATTACCCATTTTTTGTGCCTTCTTAGCTTGGTAATGTTGTACTGCCCCCAAACCCAGAGCCATCCTGGGGGGCTGAGTGTTGGAGTCCTTTTCCAGAATCTTTACAAAAAGTTTCTTCTTGGCTGCTTTTTGCTTCTTCGTTGGCGAGAACTCGGTTGCTAGTGAGGAGCCACTCGGTTTTCCTATCAGTGTCCGGCCATTAGCAGGGCTTGAAAGTGAGTTGCAACTTCCTACAGATTGGAACTCTTCCTTATCTTAATCCAAACGTTCCCTTGCTGACGGCAGAGGAAAGGGGGGGGGGGGGGGGGGGGGGGGGGGGGGGGGGGGGGGGGGGTTCCCAGTTTGTACAATGTTTTCACCCCCATGTCAGATTCTTTGTCTGACAGACTTTCCTCTTGAGACAAATCATAGATCATGTTCCCATTTATTCGGGAGGCAGAGTATCGAGGGCGTTCCCCCGAAACCCCTTCTTCTTCTTCTTCTTCTTCTTCTTCTTCTTCTTCTTCTTCCTCTTCTTCCTCCTCTTCTTCTCCTTCTTCTTCTTCTTCCTCTTCCTCCTCCCTCTCAGAAGGAGAAGGGGTGTGTGTTATCAGATCATGAAAAGGGAGATTCCCATTGTGAAGGACCATCTCCTTACCTTTGGCCTCTAAACACGGGTCCGTTACATCTTCCCGTTTGCATTTTTCCCTACCTTTCGAGACCTGGTCTTCCTCCATCCGCTCCCCCTTGTCGTGCAGCGGGTTCTCCTTTTCTGTTTCTTTCTCCCTCCCTTCGTCTGTCTTGCCCATCGTAGGGTCTCCTTTCTCTTTCTGCATCTCATCCTTCCCGTCCCTTTTCTTTGGGTCCGATTTCTCCTCACCCGCCTTCTGCCCCTTTTGCTGTGGGGACGCCTCCTTCTCTCCCAGCTCCCCCTCCTTTCCTCGCGCTCCTTCCTTATCCCCCTTTTTGAGTAGGGGAGATTTCTCCCTGTCCTTAACCTTCTCCTTCTGGCCCCTTGGGTCCTCTCTCCCCACCTTGTCCCTTTTTTTCTCTTCCTTCTTCCCTCGATCCCCCTTCCTCTTTTCTCCCTTTGATAACACCGCATTGGCATATGACTTTTTCCCTCTGGTGGTGCAATCCTCGTCGCCTTCGTAGTGAAAGTGGCGCGTGCAGGCCGGGCACCATGATGTCTCTGCACATGCGACCTCCGGTTCCACATATCCATCCCTGCCCAGATCGACTACTAGGTATCGTTTGTATCGGAGTCGTGCTGTAGACTCAAGATTGAATTGCACGTTCATTAGGGTCGGCTCAAGTTTGTCTTTAAAAGCAGGGTATTCCCTAATTAACTCACTCCCATACGCATCACGAATCACTCCTGGAAGGAGGGGGAGAACACCTACCGGAATTTGTTGACATTGAATCCAAAAGAACCGATGTCGACCAATCTCGTGCCATTCCCAAAGCTCGTTTTCGGTCATCCATGGTCTAAAGGCAACCTTGTATGAAAGTCTGTCCAAATCGATAGTCGTTTCAGACAATTTCAACATCCATTCTGCTATCTCTTTCGATGGAGCAACATAGGTAATTAAATTACGACCTTTATTATGGAACAGACCCTTTTTCAACTGAGGGGAAGTATTTTGGGACGAAAAGGCCCATCCATTCTCGTACACGCGTATCAGCCGCTTCTTAACTTCCGACGAAATCGACAACGATTCGTCACCAAACATGATGGTAACAGCATGTTCGCGTAACCATTCTGCTGGGATTTGGTACAACTCCTGGTTGATTGTCACTTTCAAGAAGTCCTCACCCACCTCCACCTTCGATGGTGCCAGGCGGGGGGGGAGGATGCCATCTCTATAGCATTTCGACAAGATATCCCGGATTCTTTGTTTCTCTCCAGGCGAGATTGCGGGAGGATTAGAATCCCCCATGACATCCAGTTTGATCGAACAAAGGTCAACACTGCAGTTAGTAAAAGAGAAAGCTAAAAACTACTTAACGTAAATAATAATAATATAGCTTCCAATAATTAGGGAAAAAACCTGTCACAATTCCAATATCTCCCCACCCTTTCACCCCCACCCACCCCAATCGAGGAGTGAAGGTACTCGAGCAAGAGAAATTATACATGACTTCCGCCCTTTCGGCCGCTTTCTTGGAGGGTCCAGGTTAGTCAACCTTTGACTCGGATATCCACCATCAACTCTCGGCTTCCGGTACGTTGCATCTCTCTCTCAGCGAACGTCCTGGCAGAGCGGGAGTCCGTCCTGGCTGCTGGTCTTCCACAGCAGCGCTCGTCATAGCACTACCATGACGAGGATAGAGTCACCGACTAACCCTTCGGTAATACCGAGGAGTATAGTGATGACATCATCAAACACCGAACCCTACGACTATCCTTGGGTCTAGCCCCCCGTTCCCGGTAGGGCAACCTAAGAATAGCGCATCGTAACGCATCGCGTTGCTGCTCCCGTGGAAGCACATTCTGGAGCCTCCCTAAATGTTTTTTTCAAAAGCTATATTCTTCTCTCATCTATCTCATTTTCCTTTTTCTATATTCTTCTCTCAACTTCTGTTTGTTTACCTACCACTACCTACTCCTAAGACTATCTAGAGGGGACCCCTGCAAGCATAGTTTTCCTCTCTCTGTGAAGGGGAGATTTCATGTTGCCCCTTGCCCCTAATGGTTAGGGTATAGGGTTGGGGCCGCCAGTGGGGGTCTGGCTAACACAAAGACCGAGACCTGCCAGTAGCTGTGCCTCCCTTYMTCATCGTCCCCCACCCTTCATCGAGTAGCAGCAGAGGCTATGGCCAACACTCTCSCACACACCACACACAACCCACTCGCGCTCACACTCACACCCGTGTTGGTYATAGACCCCGSTAATACCGATCAGGGGTATSCAGAGGACTATCACAGTCCGTTGGCACTAAGTGCGCCGCAGGCGGCCATGGGGCTTGAACCCACAACCTCCTGAATGCCACTTGCATGCCTAACCAACTGAGCTAGGCCGCTGGATTATCTCATTTTTCTTGCTAGTACTCCCGTCCAATGAGATGCGTCCAAAAAAAAAAAAAAAAAAACAAAGTTGGGAGTACTATCTCATTTTTTTTATTTTTTTTTTTATAAAACTATACTCTTCTCTCAATTTTTTTCCCCCCTCACACTACCTACCTACCTACCACTACTCCTACCTATAGGCATACGGGGAAACCGTAGCATACCAGAGCCGTGTTTTTACGGCCCCTCGAGCCTGCAGGATACCGGCCAGGGGACGGCCGGTAGCACCAGGGATAAAGCGGACCAATCCCCCGTGCCTCCCCTCAGGCCCCTCCCCTACGAACATAGCAGACTCTGCTTGATGCTGATCGGGGGATCCAGTGGTCTATCTCTTGGGTAGCGGGTGCCAAGTAGGCCCAGGAAGGCATGAGGCCAATGGGGATTTAACCCATGACCTCCTGAATGCCACTTGCCAGCCTTACCAACTGAGTTAGGCCGCTGGATTACTATCTCATTTTTCTTGCTAGTACTCCCAACTTTGTTTTTTTTTGTTCTTGGACGCATCTCATTGGACGGGAGGTGGGCATCTTTACAGTCCCGGCTCCGAAACGACCAGGCCGTCGAGATCCGATCTATTCGACGGCCGTACTGTGTCGCTCGAGGCCACACGTGATCAAAATCCTGAACGAAGTGGTAGAATACTCGATTTATGCGTGTCATCCTTGCGCAGGGGCCATGCTAATCTTCTCTGTATCGTTCCAATTTTAACGGATGTCCCGAAGGACAGTGGTAGAATACTTCGCTAATGGGTCCAGGCCCCAGCTTAGGCCCTAGTTGCACTACTCGCCATCCGCCAAGATTTCGAATGCATCTGGACAAATCTTATGTCCACATGCAATCAAAATGTTGGCCGATGGCGAGCAGTGCAACGAGGCCCTTACCCATCTGACCCCTCCGTAACCCACGGAATTAATATCATTGTGGCCCGATGGACCACTGATCAGAACAGATACTACACTTGATGTTAGGTCATCGCCACACCACTCTCGAGCTGTGCAGAATGAGAATGAACTTCCCGGTAGAACATGGCCAGCTGCACCGGCCACATTTTTGTTTTTTTCACATTTCCGCAGTGGTGTGGCGACTCCCTTCGCCACCAGGCGGACGTCATCTCAACTGCTTTTTGATGGTCTGCTAACTGCTAACCTTCGTTGTGATCTATGTGATCTAACTGGCGACATTCATGATTTTTTTTTTTTTTGCAATCTATGAAATGAAGTTAGCTTTGATAAAGCATACTAATTGCCATATCATGGTGAAGCTTAGCATGGCCCCTGCGAATGGATGACACGCATAATAAATTCATAATAAATTGAGAAATGGTCCAAATTTTTTGCATACAAAAAAAAAAAAAGAGAAGGAATTTCGCTCATCTGGTTGTGGTTTCGAACCTAGGCCCGCATTTGACCAGTTGAGGGTGTACAAGCAGCTGGGCTTAGGGCGAGATCCCACGGGCAAAAACGATTGGAAAAAGTGTCTGAATCTGGACGTGTTTGTGGAGAGGTGCAAAAAACTGTAATTGATCTGCTTTTCTGCATCTCTCTTCGTGGAACACGTCCTGATTCAGACACTTTTTCCAATCCTCTTTGCCAGTGGGATCTGGCCGTTAGGCCTGTTGGTGAGGGGAACGTTTTCTTTTTTTCTTTCTTTCGAGGAACGTTTTTTTTTTTTTTTTCCTTCTTTCAAGGAACGTTTTCTTAGACCCGCTTGGCGGGGAAAGTCCACGAGGTCCCTCATTCGATTTTCGAACGTGACGTGGAGTTGTGCCGTCCAGCAGGCAGCAACGAACGAACGAGCGATCCTCAGCACTTGCTGAAGTCCCGGTGATCAGTCGGAACGGGTGGAAGAAGCCCGGCTTGACACGTGTCTCCTGCGTGGGGTGGGGGGGGGGGGTTGCCATGGACGCGTGGCGCGCCACGCGCGTGTCGGCCTTGATGAGGCGCACATGTGCGGCGGCGGCCAGCCGCTGTCCGTCAAAGTGCGCGCCCAACGCCTCGAATTCGGGCGAGCTGGCACTGTCCCGCTCATCGTGCGCGCGCCAGCAAAACACGAGCGCACGTGCAGCCCTCCGCTGCACGGGCGCTTGGAACTTGCCGAGCCGGCAAGATCCGAGGGGCATGGCGCTCCCGGGTTCTGGCGGAGGCTGCGCATCATCATCATCATCATCATCATCATCATCATTCGCGGTCTCAGGAGCATCTAGTCCACAACAGCCAATGACTTTTTCGCGACTCGCGCCATTTCCCCCCCTAGAGAGTGGCGGTCTTCGCTGGAGCAGGGCCGTCATCTCTCCCCTGCCGGCAGTGGGCGGGACCTGGGGATCCGACGGCGGCGACTGCATTGGCGAGCCCGCGGCAGCTGCCAGACCGCCCCGATCGTTCGGTCAGCCATCTTCAGCGCGCTCGAAAGATTGCAAATGCAGCTTGGCGCGCAGTGTCAGCGGAATGCCCGCCCATTGGAACACCAGCTGGAGTAAGAGCGGAAGAGCATGGTCCTCTACTGTCTCGCAATCCACTTCCGGTTCGCGCTCACGGTCTCCGCCGCTTCCGCCGCCGCCGCGGCCGTCGCCAGGGCGGCCGAGCGCGCCAGAAGGCGGCGTGCCACCAGTACAGACACGTCGGCCGAATAGCAGACTAGAGCGGCCACGGATCTTGACGAAGGAATTCGTCGGCCTCGATCCGTGGGCGCATCTTTATTATCGGAGGTACGTCAGCTTCCGACGCGCTGCTGTGTACGGGTGCAGGGGCGGAGGATGCGCAGGGCCATTTGTGCGAGGATGGGGAGGGGGAGCGCGGGGCTTGAACGGTGTTCTTCTGAAAGATCGGCTTCGCTTTAGTATGCGCTACAGGGTGAGGTTTTTCAGCTCCCTGACGGACGCGTCAAGCTGTTCGCCGAGGGAGGAGTATCGTGCAGAAGGTGGTCGGTGTGCGATCCCGGCTGCTGCGCTCGGGTGCAGGGGTGGCGGCGGAGATGCGGGGACGCCGATCATGCGGGGATGGGGAGGGGGGGGAGGTTGGGGCTCGAGCGCTGTCCCCCTTTTGGCAGATCGCCTCCGCTTCAGTACCCGCTGCTACAGGGTGAGGCGGCTTTTCAGTTCCTCGACGCACGCGTCAAGCTATTCGTATGCGGAAGAGTATTTTGGAGATGGCGGTCATTCTGCGATCTCTCCAGAGATGGTGGTGGAACAAGGCGAAGCTGAAGAGGTTCTTCCTCGAATCAGTGAAGGTCAGTAAGTGCGGCCATGGTGCAGTTCGTTTGCTGGTCGATTCGAGCGCCGACCAGCGAGCCTACGGTAGGTCAGTTGGAATACACCCATGAACTATTGTGAATTACAGACCCAAGTTCGAATCCAATTACTAAGTCAAGCTCAGGGCGTGATGTGCTGATGTCATTGTCAGGATGGCGATGATGACATTTATGACAATTATGATGATCATAATACGGCTGATGATGGTGATGGTAATGATGATGATGATGATGATGATGATGATGATGGCTATAGTGATGATGGTGGTGAATCTTGTGATTATAATGGTGATGATGATGATGATTGATGATTGATGATTGATGATGATGATGATGATGATGATGATGATGATGATGGTTAATAGTGACGGTGATGATTGATGATGATGATGATGATGATAGTGACGGTGATGATGATGATGATGATGATGATGATGATGAATATGATGGTGGTAATAGTGACAGTGATGATTGATGATGATGGTGATGATGATGATGATGATGATGATGATGATGGTTAATAGTGACGGTGATGATTGATGATGATGATGAATATGATGGTGGTAATAGTGACGGTGATGATTGATGATTGATGATGGTGATGATGATGATGATGATTGATGATGATGAGGATGATTGATGATGATGACGATGACGATGACGATGATTGATGATCATAATACTGCTGATGATGGGGATGGTTATGATGATGATGACGATGATGATGATGACGATGATGATGATGATGATGATGATGCTGATGTCAGGAAAGATTGAATTCGGCAACAGAAAATTGCACCTGGAGAGCTTGATCTCCAACCACCTAATGCGAAGAGTGCCGCCCCGTCGGAATCGTCGCTGATGTTGATGGCGATAGTAAAATAAATAACGACGACAATGATAACGATGATCACAGCTCATGCATCATTAACCATGGTTATCACCATTGCTCACCACCATCACCTTTATAATCATCATCCTCTTCCTCCTCCTCTTCATCATCATCATCATCATCACCATCACTATAACCATCATCATCATCATCATCATTTTTGCATTTACGCACGTTTGCTCCCCTCTTCCTGTAGTCTGTGTGAGGATTGGGGCGTGGGGGGGGTTTCATCCATGTCCCATCCAAAGTAGTAGTAGTGGTAGTCCCACTCGTAGTACTACCGTAGTAGTAAAAGTACAAAGGCCATTAAAAAAAAAAAAAGAAAAAAAAAGTACCATTATCTCAAATTTTACCAGTTCGTTGTGGTTTTCGATACCAGTTACAATTTTATTTTATTTTTTTCAGTTACAAATTTAGATTTATTATTTTTTTGCCTTTTTTTTGAGTCTGCTGACGATATTTATGTAGGCAGCAGGCAAGTTCATGTTCCTAATCGGCATTGTTGAAGTACCCGGTTGTCACCTCCACTTTTTTTTTTTTTTTTTTTTTTTTCGTTGGTTATTTTGGTCGCATCTGGATTCGAACTGAGGTCTTTATTTCAGCAGGTGATTGGTGTACAAACTGAGCTAGGCCAGTTGGACCTTTTTTTTTTTTTTTTGGAAGTGGGTGAAAGAGTAAAATCCCTCATATAATGAGTCATATTAGTAATTTTGATTTTATTCGCCCAGGTTTTCAGCTCAAGAGTCATCAAGGGCCGGTCACGTGTATGTACTGTTGGGTGATCTATCGGCCAGATGCAGAAAATTGAAAACTTGTTTATAATTACTTTTATTTTATTTTGCAATACAAATTGCAAAATTTTCACCTCCATTTTATTTTATTTTATTTCGTGCAGTGGGAGAAAGAGTAAAACCCCTGATATTAGTAATTTTACTTTTTCATTTGACCAGGGTTTGAGCTGAAGAGAAATCAAGCGCTGGTTATGTGCATGTACTGTTGGGCTATCAATCGGCCAGGTGCAGAAATTTGAAAAACTGTTCTATTTAAAAAAAATAAAAAATAAAAAATCAAAATTGTCACCTCACATTTTTATTTTTTTAATGTTGCCGAAGGCAGGCTAACCCCCCTGCTATTAGTCCCTCCCCCCCACCCCCTTTGGACCAGGGTTTTGAGCTGTAGAGTCATCAAGCGCTGGTTCTGTGTACGTACTGTTGGGCTATCTATCGGCCAGGTGCAGAAAATTGAAAACTTCTTAAAAAAAATAATAAAATTGCACAATGTTCGTCTCTTCGCTGATATAATGATATTAGTAATAATTCACTAATTTGTTTTTTTCCTTTGACCAGGGTTTGAGCTGAAGAGTCATGATGCTTCATGACTCTTCAGCTCAACCCCTGAAAAAATAAAGCAGTTTTCAATTTTATTTAAAAGGAAAAAAAACAGTACTGTTGGGCTATCTATCGCCCGGATGCATAAAATTGGAAACTGCTTTATTTCTTTTAAATAAAATAAAAATTGCAAAATTTTCTTCTTTTTCTATGGACATTATCATATTGTTTGTCCTTGTTTATTTACAAAGAGAGAGGTAGGTCCTCACGTTTTTTTTGGTTTTGTTTTAATTCCTCAGGTTCCATAACGATTCAAACTCAATAAGCGCAGGTTATTATTACCATCCAAAACATTGCATTTCATGAGTTTTTTTTTTTTTTTTTTTAAGCCTTTGGGGGGCGGGGGGGGCCACGTTCGTGAGCCCTGAGCATGTCCTTCAAATGGGATGGATGAACGTCAGCCTGCTAATCAGCATTTTTGTTTGACGTTTCACTTTCGTAGATGGGAGAAGGGGGGGGGGGGGGGGAATCAGCATTTTAGTTTGACGTTTTACGCTCTAAGAAAGCAGGCTAATCTAAATCTAACTAATTGCTAATTAGGCTAATCTGACTTATCTGATCTGATTGACCTCTAAGAAGCAGTCTAATCTACTCTTAACTAATGACTAATTAGGCTAATCTGAATGGTCTGATTGCCCTCTAAGAAAACAGTTTAATCTATCTAATCCTAGGCTACCAGCCGGGCCGCCCGGGTCCCGGCTGGCCAGCCCGTGCGAGGACAAGGGAAGGTCCCAGCAAAAAAAAAAAAAAAAAAAACAAATCGAAAAAATCCGAAAAAAAATTATGTTATGCAGAAAAGTAAACTGAACAACTTTTGCCTCAGGGTCACATCGAAATTCCTTACCAAATTTAAAATAAAAAATAAAATTTAAAAATAATTATTATTTTTATTCTTTATGGCCCGGCCGGGCAAGTGACCCCGGGCCACTCTGGTAGCCTAGATCTAATCTAACTGATTGCTAATTAGGCTAATCTGACTGGTCTAGTTGACCTCTAAGAAAGAAGTCTAATCTGCTCTGACTAATTGCTAATTAGGCTAATCTGACTAGTCTGAATGTCCTCTAAGAAAGCAGGCTAGTCTTATTTAAGTAATTGCTAATTATTAGTCTAACGACTCTAATGAGTCTAAGCTAGCTGATCTGATTGACCTCTCAGAAAGCAGGCTAATCCGATCTAATCTAACTTGCCACACCACACGATTAACAAGGACTCAGTGTGGCTCCTGATTAGTTAGGGTAGTGAGATGAGCTGATTTGTCCCTTCTCCAGCGAATCGGGACGGTCAGGATATCAACGTCACTCAGTTGACAAATTCAGAGTTTTTTTTTTTCTTTTCTTTCTTTGGTTCTTTCTTTCTTTCAAATCAGTACAGGTCAGCTAATCAAAGTATCAGCAGTTTGGCTGATCTGATTGAGAACCCATCCCATGTGGCTAACTGGTACATCCATGTAACTGTTGAAAAGCAGACCTGTGTTCGAATCCTGCTGTGGGAATCAGATGAGTAACATAAGTCTGAATTGCCCCCTTGAGCTCGTCAGTTCAATGATGATACCTCAAGGTTGTCGCCCCTTTCAAAGAGAGGAAATAATGGGGAAAAGAAACGGAAAGGAGAAAAAAAAAAATCCCCCAAAAGGAAAATCTGTGTGTGCCATTTGACTGCCACCTACATCTGAATAGAGCCCGCTCATTTATCGCTGCATCTGGACTGGAAGCTATGCAAGGAACCTCTCAATGAGAACAGACCATTTTTCCACAGCAGCGAAGACAAAAATAAGGTGCTAATTCAGAATTGTCTTCTTCTGTCATCTAATTGCATCTGGATTCGAACTCGGATCTGTATTTCAACATGTCATGGATGTAGCAAGACCACACCAAAATGAGAACGCAGCAAATGTGCCAAAATTTCTTGAAAAGGAAAGCCCGACATCACACGTCCAAGCATAAAAAAACAACAACAGCTCTGCTGTTGTCTTTATGCTGTTTAACGGGCTATACTGCTTCTTTATCTACGCTATACTCCATCCTAGGTTAATCTCTTCTCTCTTCTCGCTGCCCGCTGATCTGCTTGCCCAACGATGCCACAGAGGCTGATGATGTTATGTGTGGTCATGACCCATCATCAGGTAAGTCCCACCTCTCGTTGCTGTCATTTTCCTTCCCATGGTCCTCCCAAACACCAGCGCCTCCTATTGAACCAGCATCAGGTGCAGCTATGGCTGCGGCTGCCTGGGCCATTTTACTGCGCGAGCCCCTTCTCCTTCGCTGTCGTCATTGCTCTTTCCTGGCTCTTGAGACAGGGCTAATTTTAGTGCTGCTTTGACAGCTACTTGTGCACCGAAGGAATGTCCCTCTCCAAACACAAGCGCCTCCTATTGAACCACCATCAGGTGCAGCTATGGCTGCTGCTGGCTGCGCCGCGCCCCGTCCCCTTCTCCGTCGCTGTCGTCAACGCTCTTTCCTGGCTCTTGAGACTGCACTAATTTTAGCGCTGTTGGCCAGCGACTTGTGCACCGAAGGAATGTCCCTCAGCAGCGGCCTGCAATGCTTTTTGTCACAGACGACGTGAGGCCACATTTGCCTCATCGGGGTTAACCTCCTTGCCGAGAAGCTTCAGGACGCCGGTGCTCACCTCCATATGCCCGGCAGTTACTTTCACAGCCCAGCCTTAACTTCGGGCAGGGTCCCGTTCTGGTGCAGGTGGCGCTCAGCGCCGCTGAGGCGTGGAGCCTCGCAGCTGCCCCAAATACAGTTGTAATGACCGGGCGTTCTATTTGGGTGAAGATGGTAGTCTGACGTAGTTCGAACTAATCCGGCAGTGTGACCGGCCACCTATGGGTTTGAAATGATGGTTAGCTAATTGGGTTAATCTGTGGGGTAAAATTTGACCGAGTGGGGGCTAAGCCGCCTGATAGGGTTAAGCCTGGTAAGGAGTAGTAAGGACTACTGGGATTACTTTTTTTTTTTTTTTTTTCCTGGTTGGCCAGGTTCATCAAATCGCGCAATCTTATCTGATCTGAGAAATTGCTAGTTAGTCTAATCTGACTGATCTGATTGACCTCATCGAAAATTCCGTGGCCAGAGAGTACAATGCCGCAACCTTTTGGGTTGCAGAATGGGCATTGGTGGTGGAATTGCGCAGGGGGATATGCTTATCTTCCATGCGTCATTCAATTTTCCGTGGATGCCGCGAAAGATGAATGGGTATGATTCTTGACTAGGCAGCTTAGTCAAATCAGCTATAGACCGGAAAAATCTGAAATCCACTAGCTTGTACCAGCTGGCCTAGTTCAGTTGGTACACCCCTTAACTGTTGAAATACAGACCCGTTAACTGTTGAAATACAGACCCGAGTTCGAACTCAATTTCAAGCAGATGAGTGAAATACGACAATTCTGAATTACCTACCGTCTTCACCCGAATAGAACGCCCGGTAATTATCGTCGTATCTGGGCTGAAAAAAGTGCCAAATACAGTTATAATGACCAGGTGTTCTATTCGGGTGAAGACGGTAGGGATGGTCAGTTCGATGATAATACGTCAAGGCTGTCGCCCTTTTTAAAATTGAAGGTTTAAAAGGAGAAAAGGAATACTTAAAAAAAGAAAAAAAGAAAAAAAGGGAAATCCACTAGCTTGACTGATCCTGCTAATCTATAAGCAACATAGCTTCAGTAACCTGGTTCATCTAGGAAGCTATACAACTGTTGTATCAATTACCGTCTTTCGCCAGACACACCGCACCCTCATCGTCAAAGTAATAATCAGCGAAACCGGCAAGATCAGAAATCCTAGCTACCAACGGGCCTAGCTCAGATGGTACACCAATGGAATTTTTTGAAATGCACACTCAAGTTTGAATCGAGCTATGGTGGACTAGCAGGTAATTCAGAGGCAAAGTCAGGCGTGGCGGCCTGAACAGGAGCAGCCATAGCTGCTTTGTGTTGTCCTAGCTACCAACGGGCCTAGCTCAGTTGGTACACCAATGAATCCTTCTGAATTACCTGGCTCCGTTCAATGATAATATCTCAAGGTCGTTGCCATTTGAAAAAAAAAAGTAAAAAAAAGTGAGATCCACTAGCTTGACCGATCTAGCTAATCTAAGAAACATCGCTACAGTAACATGGTTTATCTTGTAAGTTGTTCAACTGCTGTATCGGAAATTACCGTCTTCTAAAAATTATATATTAAAAAAAAACTAAAAAAATCATAATAAAAAAATTACCGTCTTCCTGTGAACACAACGCACCCTCATCATGAAAGTATCGGACCAGAAAAAAAAAAACGGCTTGTATACATTCATAATCAGGGTGTGCATTGTGTTCAGGGGAAGACTGTGGAACGGGGGATGGGTTTCCTGATCAGGACAGGTTAGTCAAAAATTAGCTGAACTGAGCAGATCACACTTAAACGAGCCAGTCTGGCTAATCTCAACTAATCTGACTGAGGACCAACTAATCCTGCATTACTTTCTACTGCTTCAATATCGTCTTCACTGAATAGAACGCACAGTTACTATAGCTGTATTCGGGGCAACTTTCAGTCAACAGACATGTTATGATCTTGGCCAATTTCGAAGTACACATTCATGAGAAAGTACAATGCCGTCCAATTGCGAAAAGAAATGAATGAACTTGAGAGGAGAGAGAGGGAAAGAAGAAGAAGAAGAAGAAGAAGAAGAAGAAGAAGAAGAAGAAGAAGAAGAAGAAGGAAAAAAAAAAAAAGAAAAAAGAAGAAGAAGAAGAAAAAAGAAAAAAGAAGGAAGATGATGTACACCAGCAAAGACCAATGGTAATTCCCTTGCTTCGTCGCCAACCACTCTCGTCCTCCTTATCTCCTCCCCTCTTATTCAAACAAGAAATAATAATAATAATAATAATAATGTTGAATGACTGAAAAAGAATGAATGTCCGAATCCCTCTTCTACTGCAAAGGACAACACAAAGCAGCTATGGCTGCTCCTGTTCAGGCCGCCATGCCTGACTCTGCCTCAAAGCTTCTTGGTGGAGCTCTACCCCAGCGGGGCCTTCCAGATGCAACGTCCACCAAGGTGATTAAGATGGCGTCCACCATAGCAGGGTACGTACCTCTGGCGCTCCCCCTTCCTAGTCCTTGTCTTTCTCCTCCTCCTGTCCTTGCTCCTTCCCCAGCAGTGCTGCTTTATGGTAGCACTGCTCCAGCCAGCGCTCCAACCAGTGTGCCACCAAACTTGCACACCGACAATGAGGAGGAACACTTTTCTCCTCCTGGAGATATAGCGGCCTGCTTGCCTCTTGGCGAGTGATCCTCCCTTTCGGAGGGAAACATCATTGCAGACTCTGATATTGCCCGTACAGGCCTTAGACTCAGACTGGTTGGACTGGTACCCGCCTTAGACTCAGACTGGTTAGACTGGTACCCGCCTAGACCTACCTACAACTACTGGGCCTCTAGAAATGCCAACTTTGTCTTCTTCTGCTCGGCCTCGAGTACCCGGCGCATCTACCTATTCCTGGTGTGATACCGCCCTACCTGCTACTTGAGTGTTTTTCCGCTGCTCCAAGTGTCGCGGGCCTCTTTCCCCGCCACTTGAGTGTTTTCCCCGCTGCAACCCTCAATGTCACGGCCACAGGTAAGTACCGGCCCTTTGGGCCTTCCGCACGGACAAAGTACCCTTGCGGGTCACACACACTCAAACCGACGAGCACTCAGACGGGCACGCAGACCAGCAAGCATGCGCACACTCAGACTCAGAAAACTCAGCAACGAGCAAGGCATACATTCCATTGGCAAAACTCTCCATTGGCAAAACTCAGAAATCAGCTGTTTGTGTCTCAGTCCGTGTTTGGCAGCTCCTAACAGACAGCTTTAATGACTGTGCGTTCTATTCGGGTGAAGACAGTCGTAATGGGTGGGTGATGTCGCAGCCACATGAGTAAGATTGCTTAACCTGAGGAGATTTCCTAAATGGGCTAATCTGGGTCCATTATCTGGCTAATTAATCTAGCCCGTTTTACCTTCCCCCCCCACCCCCACTCCACCCTCTCTAAAGAAGCATCAAGGGCAGTGCTCAGTCCCTGGGCTGAGAAGAGTAATCCAAGGATTCGTTTTAATTTTTTTTTTTCCACCTCTGCATTTAACAGCCATGTCGCTTAATTTGAGATTTCCTCCACTCCCAATTGTGCGAGATTGAATGTGCCATTTTCAGGAAGGTTCTGCCAGTTCCTACTGTAATGGCTGTTCCTACTGGAACACAGGAGGGTACCTGCCCAATTGTGCGAGATTGAATGTGCCATTTTCAGGAAGGTTCTGCCGGTTCCTCTGTTGCAAGATAGGAACTGGTGGTGGAAGCTCAGAGGATACCTGCCAGTTCCTACTCAAACACAGGAGCCAAGACCGTCAAAAAAATGCCACAACCAATCTCGCAACAGAAAAAAAAGAAAAAAAAAAGTCAATTTTTTTAACGGAATGGCTGTTATTACCTTCCTACCTTTGGCCAGTTCCTTTTTTAGAACGGACCCAGGGGGGGAAAAACTCATGAAAATGGCACATTCAATCTTGCGCTACTTTGGAAAAAAGAATCCTCAAATTTCAACACGATAATGGCCGTTATTAGCAGTTGGGGGAGTTATTTCTGATTAGTCACATGTCTTGACACCTGTAAGATTAGCTAACCTCACCAGTCAGATTGGTCTGAGACTCGCGCTTGATGCTCACCTTGTCGACTTTGGTCAGTCTGCATCGTCTTTCTTCTTTCTTCTTTCTTTTACCACATCAGTCGTCCCTCATTGACGCAGACTTCCTTCGATCAGTTGTGTCCCTCAGTTGATACATAAGAAAGAATGCTAATTGGTGAGCTGATTGCGATTTCGATTGTTCTCTGTCTACCTCTAGCTAAAAAAAAAAAGGACAAGCACTTGACTGCATATGTGCTGCCGAAGTGGAGGATGCAAGTGCCTTAAAGGCTGGTAGATACATACCAAACAACGGAATACCTTCCAGGCCAGTGCTGGTCGATATGAAAGAAAGAATGCTATTTGATGAATAAGGGGAAGAGTGTGGCTGTACGTGGGCCACCAAAGTGTAAGATGGACAAGTACCAATTGTAGAAATCAATCTACCTTCCGATCCTCCTTCCCCGCACCCAACCACCACTGTCAGCGCCAGTGCCACTGTGACCAACACTCTCATAACCACCAAACTGCCAAAAAGACAGCTGGGGATTCTACCAACGTACGCCAAAACTTATGGCATTGGGGTAACTTACCCTGTGCGTGCATTCGTTTGTTCGATATTGTTTCTTTCTGTGTGTGGGCATTCATTTCTTCAAACTTAAAGGTGTTGCCTTTTTTTTTCTGTTTTCTAAGAAACCTCTTTTTGCAGAGGACTTTGCTCCAAAAAATGGAGATGCTCACTGCTTGTGTTTTGTACTTTGTCTGTGTTTTTTTTTTTTTTTTTTTTTTTTTTTTTTTTTTTTCAATCATTGTGAATGTCGGCAGAGATGGTGGAGATCAAGTTTGCGAGGAGCGGAGGGCCTGGTGGGCAGAATGTCAACAAAGGTGAGTGAGGTGAGATGACAGAATTTTCAATTTTGTTGAAAAGACATCAAGCTGGCGAATGATTATTTAACGTGGCATTGCCTAAGTGCAGGGAAATTGAGCGATAGCGAAATGACAGAATTCCAGAATGCAAAATCACATTGAAAGCCAGAAAGTCCAACGCTGTCCAGAAAGAAGAAATGCACCGATATATCACGAAAGGCAAACCAAAGCACCAAATCCAAATGTCAATGAGAGCATACTCTCGCCACCACCAACATATGTATCAGAGCCCTTCCTCCTACTTGGCGCTCAGCGCCCAGACTACCATCACGCAGCTACTACCAGCCTACGAATTGACAATGCAACCTGTTGACGTCAGCAGCAGAACCAAAGTACATGAGCATGTCGACCCTTGTAGACCATCGCCAAGACCAGGTACGTGCCCTCACATCATCAACCCCATCTCTCTCTCTCTCTCTCTCTCACACACACACACACACACACACACACACACACACACACACACACACACCCTTGACTTCATCACCCACATCTTCTCCCTCACACACGAAGACCACCACCACCTCCACTGGCTATCCAGCCAAGCCCCGGCTACGTGGGGCTGGTTATGGCGCTGCCCTCAGCAGCGCCCTGCCTTCTCGGACGACCGCATGCGCGCGCACACTTGCCCATGCGCTAACGCAGCAGCCTGCGAGTGCTAGCTCCAGCAGCGCTGCCGCATCTGCACGCAAGTGCCCGACCCCGATCCTCGGAGCCCAGCCCTTTCCTATAATGAAAGTGGCGGGCGAATTGCCACTCGCTTCCCCACGAGACCGTGTTTCCAGTAGCTTCAGTTGCCGCCAAAGTGTCTGTGCCCAGGCCCGTTCAGACAGTGGCCTGGGACCGAATTGGTTAGGCATGCTCAACCACCCAGGGCCAAACGTGCGGTGCTCCCTGTTTCAACCACGTTGCTGGGAGAGCCTGGAGGGCTCATGCATATTTCCGATTCTCACGAGCAAAGCGGATGTAACCAACTGGCACGTGGCAACTGTCTGGCACCCACCAAGATTTGCAAAAATTGACGAACTCGCGGCAAATTGAGAATCAGGGGGGCCGCCTTCACTTAGGGCGGGCACGCGCCTGCTGCAAGGCCTTTGCCGAGGGGTAAACCCTCGCGCAAGTCCTAAGCTGCTTTTTGTGAGCTTTCTTGGAAATTGTTCTGTTATCCATGCTGTAGAAGAAAGGATCCCTGCACAGATTGCTTTCCTCTTTTGAGCCATGGAATGCACAGAAAACATTTTCCTTTCCTGTACGCTGCATGCAGTTTTGCCTTGTCAATTTGTCAGAAGTATTTGCAAACATACCGTACAGCCTCTACAAGGAAGGGGAGAGTGTGGGGGGGATGTCTATGGTCACCTGCTGCACTGGGGAGGCGTGGAGAGAGAGAGAGAGAGAGAGAGAGAGAGAGAGAGAGAGAGAGAGAGAGAGAGAGAGAGAGAGAGAGAGAGANAGAGAGAGAGAGAGAGAGAGAGAGAGAGAGAGAGAGAGAGAGAGAGAGAGAGAGAGAGAGAGAGAGAGAGAGAGAGAGAGAGACAGAGAGAGCTGTTTTGTTTGATCCTCGCGATCTTGGTTTCACCAAAGTGTGCTACGAATCCATAATTCGTATACTTTGCGTGACCCAATCAGGAGGTCTCTGCTTAGTGACCAAAGGTGAGAGGTAGGTTGCAGGACTTGCAGAGGCCGATGCGCTTGACACTGTGCAACATGTTTGTTTGTTTGTTTCTTTTGAAATGCAGCGGGGGGCCATATTACAAGGGTTGATAAAAGCAATCCCTTGTAGGACCCTTCCCGAGTTTTGCAGGCTCCGATCTAGTGGTGGGGAGCAGCACCTGCTGGAAATCAGGTCCAGCTGACTCCAGCATCCCTTTTCGGGTTACAGTAAGGTCGCAGTGAGGAGCAGCAATGTTTTCCCTCCATTGAGGGGCTTTTCTAGTTCATTATAGACAACACCCTGATTTGATGACTGCCCCCTTTCCCCTCAGCCCCCTTATCAAAGACCAGGCTATGGACTTCTCATAATTCCCCCACCTGTAATGAAGACCTCCTCAGACAATTCCCTTAAACGAGAAGACTTGCACTCTTTGTATACCCACGTTGCTCTCTGAGCCTCACTTTCTCTGTTACATTAACCTGGGCTGATGAAACCTCTATCTCTCCTTACCGATCACTCTCTTGTTTGGTAGAGATCCACACTTGGTCGGCGCTTAGAGGGAGGGAGTAAAGTGAGAGACAGATAGGGAAGGAGAGTGAGTGTGCTGGGGCCCCAAATCAAAGGTTGAGAGGGAAGGGCTAGGCGAATCTTGTTGGCTATGATTTGTAGGCAGTAGGATAAAGCTGCTTGGTTTGAAACTTTAAAGGAATGGTGAAGTGTGTCGGTGGAAGTCGTTGCTATTCGTTTTTTCGGTTGTCAACCGCGGTTTCCATTTAAGGTTAACCTTATGGTTCCGGCTCCTTTTCCATTCTGGGGAGCGTCAGTCCGGTTCCTATTCCACCGGCAAGTCTGTAAAGAATACAAGGTATACTCACTCACGCTCCTCCCCCTTGTGGTGTGGAGGTCCGAAGGACGACATTGATTACTTCCCGAGGGAAGGATGTACCACCCTTCACCCCTGCCTAAGTTAGCCTGTTTTACTTGGAACCTGTTCTTGCAGCATTATTGGTGCTAGAACCGTACACCCTGGCTTGATACGTCTGTGTCTTTAACCTATCTTCAGTGATCCTATCTGTGTCGGTGGAAGTCGTTGCTATTCGTTTTTTCGGTTGTCAACCACGGTTTCTATTTAAGGTTATTACTATCATCAAGATCAAAAATGTTCCTATGTGGATCAAGCTTGGATTGTTGTGAATGAGTTTATTGTTTGTGTTACCGCAGTTACATCTGTAAGCTTTGTGATTCCGTGCTTCATATTCCTCCAGGCATCATATATTTTCGTTCTAATGGTGTCAGCAGTGGCTGTTTTTGCTTGTAAGAAATCCAGTGTTTGCTGATTCCTTTCTAATTGCCCTCCAGGTTGTCATCAGTACAGTCAGTTTGAATTTTTTAGACAAGATTTAGGGCGAAGGTCGGAGCCTGCAACCGGGTGGTCGTGACTGCACCCAGCACGGCGATGGGGTTGGAGCAGGGTGGGGATTTAAAATCCTAGCCTCAGCTGGGTACGTGGGGGCAGAAGAGTGACCTGCGTACTGGCCACGGCCAGGTGTTTTTTTGGGCTGGGTTACCCGAAAGAGGACCCTGCTGATAGACCATTGACCCTGTCAACCTCGATTCAACTTTCTCACTGTGCAGAAGCAGGTAGAGAGAAGGAGAGAGTAGCCAGGGTCGTTTGCATCCATGGGTTGTTCACGTGCGGATGCTGGCCGAGTTGGGTATGGTTGTGATGTTTTTTGGGTTCCCAGGTGGCTCGGGCCTGGGTTGTTCAGTTGCTTTCTCAGGTCACATTCTGATTTCCAGTCTCGTGTATCCTCATCGCATAAATGCCTGACAGTGTGGATGCCCTTCTTCACTCAAGGTAGCCACGGATGTTCTTTCAGAAGGAAGAAAGGGTTCCCCCGCTCATCTGTGATCTGAGGGTTTCTGAAAACGGGTAGCCTCCAGATCTCATGCCACCTTAGCAGTGGCGGCACCCTTTTGGGCCCAATCTCTCTCAGTGACTGTAGAAAATGGGCCCACAGAGGATCCAGCAGCAAGCTCCGTCGTGTTTGGTTTACTAGGGAATTCTCTCTCTTATGCTTGGGGTGGGCAGTGATAGAGAAGCAGGCATTGGTCAACCATTGAAGGGGGTGAACCTGTCTCCATTGTGGAGATTGTGGTGCCAGGCAGATCAACTGTATGAGAGCATAGGAGGCGCAGGGAATGTCGTTACCGATTGCGAGGCATATGATGAGCTTAAAGATAAAGAGCGTTAATTTCATTGGCGGGGTCAGTAATCCCTAGGCTCCCCCTTGCTGTTGGCTGTGAAAGCAAACATCAGGTGACCCGTTTAATGCAAGAAGTGTCCTCATGGTCCCCTTCCCAAAAGAAGGCCACAGCCGCTTGTATCGGGCGAGCTAGCTGTTTCTGTGGAAGGGGGAAAAGGCAACTTCGTACCAAAGAACCGCAAACATGACGTTATTGATTGCTAGCGACTGGCCTATCAGGGAAGTGCACCCCTCCAGTTACCCATCCCTTGAATAACAATGTCCATGAAGCCTTCTGTTTTAGTTCCCCAATTTACTTTCATATCAGCTGCGATTTCAAAAAGGTGTATAATACTATAATCATCCTATAACGTGTCCTAGGGCCTGCATGCTGGTAGCGTTGGCTTTGCATAGGACGGCTCGATCATCTGCAAATAGCGATGTGATGTGCCTAAGATGGCGAGGGGTCTCTGGAACCTCAATTCTTTGAATATCTGGGCTAGCCGGTGTCATTGCTGCTAAGCCTCCATCAGAATGACACACAAAAGTGGTGCTATCGGGTCGCCCTGCCTTACTGATCTTTGAAGTGGAAAAAGGTGTTGCCATGTGGCCTTTTAGCATCACATTTGTTGTGGCTGTTCTCGGGAGAATGCTGACCCACTTTCGGAATTTTGGCCCGTCAATCCAACGTTCCAGTCGACGTTGTCATAAAAGCTTTTATGAAGCCGGTAAAAAGAATAGCTGCCTCTATCCTTCTTTGACGAGCATATTTAATTGGCTTGTTAACCACCAAGTTGTTATCTTGGGCGTTCCGGTGGGCCATGAATCCCGACTGGTCTAGGTAAATAAGTGGTTGCCATGTGGGGAATGAGCCTATTCGGTGAGGGACATGAATCCCAACTGGCCATGAATCCCATCTAGAAGGGTGCAGGCAGTAATGTCATAGGATGGTAGTTCCGAATTTCTGATTAGTTGGCTTTCGTGTATGGAAGCGTCATGACCCTTTGAGCCCCATTAGACCTCCAAGGTACCCTCGTATTCCACTGCCTGGATGTAAGTCATGAGATCCCAAAGGTGCAGGCCGAACTCTTTTGGGAAGGAGTCCAGCCCTGGGCTTTTCTTATCATTCATGGCCTGTAGGGCCTGTAGGATTTCTTGCTGAGATAGGGGATCTTCAATGTATCCTTTTGGGCCTGTGAGAGCAGGGCTGATAGAGAACTAAAGAAGGGCGTCTTGAACACTCCGGAGTTCATGCTCTTCCCATTGCGCAGTTTGAAATATGAACGGGTGTTTGTAATATTGCAAGCCGTAGTCCAAAATGCTGTATGCATCTTCCGCATCTGCCTAGATCCGGCCTTCGCTTTTCTGGAGAAGATTTTTGCCATTGTTCCATCCGTATTTTCCTTTTTTTTAATTCAGCTTGAATTCTCTAGATCTGAGTTTGTTGGTCGACAGGTGGTCCCACACTGTTTGCAGGTTACTGAATGCGTTTATGTCGGTTGCGTTATCCATCAAATTCCTGTCCCATCTCTCCAACTGGAGCTGGAGATTTTCTAAGATCACCTTTCTGTCCCAGGCATGTTTGATTGATTTTTTTTTCAGTCTTCTACCTGAGGCAACCCACCCCTTCGGCGAACCACTAAACGATTGGCCCAGGTTGTAATTTTTGAGTGGTGCAGTATTCTGATAGTCAGTGACCATCTTCTTGTTGAAAGAGGGCAGCTTTAAACTGCTAGTAGTACACGGCCCCAGCCGTGTGGAGGTTCGTTTTTCGCCTACCATGAAAACTTTGCACCTCAGGCCTACCGAACCACAATGGCTGGTAGCGCCAGCCAAAAAAGAGCAAAATTGCACTGTTGGCGGTTCAGAAAAGCTTGCCTAGCAGTGCAGCGCTTCCAGGCTCGGGTGGACTGCTGCATTTAACCAATGAGGAGTTAGATTTCAAATAGCTCGGCCCCTTGGTGATCCGAGAGTGAAAAGATAGCCTGAGGGCCACCATTCGGTGGTCAATGGACTTGCAGGGGGTTATTGGTTGGCGTATGCCCTTTTCTGAGGGTGCAGTTCTCTTTAGGAATCGACCAGTTGTAGGTTGCCATGATTGTACCCGAACATGGTCACAGACCTCCTTTTTGAATAGCGTTGGGGCCTCTTCCCGCTTGGGGAGGGGTGGCGTCCTATCCAATTGTCGATCCGGAGTAGTATTAAGGTCACCGGCTTCTACAAACCGGGGCATCTTGGGACGGAAGTTGATGAGGACTTAGAAAACATTGTGCCCTGAGGCCTGGGTCATTCGGGGCGTATACGCCTGCGATATGAATTATCTCGCTTCCAATTGCCGCCTTTATGTACACCCATCTTCCTTCATCTTGGAGGGAGTGGTTTGCTTTAATGTTTTGGGGTGTCAAAATTACTCTGTGTATTGGACTTTGATTTGCTCGATTTATGCGTGTCATTGGACTTGATTTCTAAGTGTGGATTTGTGAATGCTTGGCAGTTCATCCTAGGACGAAATAGTTCATCTCATGAATTGCAATCAACGAGCATTGCACACCCTATCCAACATGGATGTATGGGATGCTGGGGGAACATCAAAGTTGCTCCCTCGTAGGGTTCAATCTGCATGGTATTGACTCTATTGAGCCGCAAAAACCTCAACAGTCTGCAGCAGTCAGTCACCCTCACTACAGAATGGCATCCGGTACAGCGCTCTCAAACTCCCAGAGAAAGAACGTGATGAGATATTCTGCATGGCCTGGTTCGCAGTCTGGTAAATGCCTTGGCTGGACAAAGTACTTGAAAATTGTGGAAACCGATCTGTAACAAGTTACTAACAACCAATGTATGTGGCAAGGACTTCTGGGATCTCAATTCTGCTGCATATCCCTCCAAAAATGGATCTGAGAGCACTCGACATCTCTGAAAAAATCGCTGAAAAATCGGAAGGGAGACGATGTATCTCCCTCTCATGATCTATAGTTCGGGTGCAGCTCTCCGAACTTTCCAATATGTTACAGTCGTCCTGCTATCGCTGTGCAGTCACTGTGCCTACTTGTTTAGACGTTTAGAAGTTTTAGGAGTGGTTGAACTCCAAGGAAGGTGAGCATGAGAAAGAGCTTCAGAGAAGAGAAAAGAAGTCGGAGAAAAAAAACACAAGAAAGCATTCGGTGTAGATTGGTTCATCATGCCTTTACCTCCTGGTTAACCATGGTTGAGTGTGTTTGTTTGCCGGGTTTTGTCCGTTCTGCTTTTGTCTTTCGTTCTTGCTGTGCAAATGAGCAGTGAACACAAAGGTTGACATGAGGTTCAATGTCATGGCCGCTGACTGGCTCCCGGAGCGGGTAAAACTCAAGTTAATGCAAATGGTAAGCACTTTTTTGTTGCGGCAATGAACATGGTGATTACAAAGAGTGTATGTAATGTGTATGTAATGCACTTGTCTTTGCTCGTTCTCTATTTTCTACCTCCCTTGCCCTTCAACCAGTGCCCATTTCTCCCCTTGTGTATGTATATAATCATTATAATCCACACTCGACTTGTCTTTTTTGCTATTCTCCCTCGACCCGATGCACTAGAAAAACCTCTTGAACCGTTGTGGAACGCTACTACTCTTGTGGCCAATCCTGCAAAGCTTCCCCTTTGGTCCCGTGATTACGGACTTTATCCCGCCATCGTGGATCTCGATATATGCACTTGTATTTGCCCTCTAGCTGTGGAGAGATCCTAAATGGTTTTCTGATGGTGATGTGCATGACGGACAATCTCCCACTTCTCGGGACAGAAGATACTTCTTCCCGGAGTGCAAAAGAGCTGTCATAGCATTCCTTAACAGAGTGAAAAGTGTGTTGTAATGTCATCCATTAATCTATCTATTTGTTTTCCTGTGTCTGTTTGTGCATTGGTCAGAAGGCAAGGCACTTCCGATTTTTTCTGAGGTGCAATAAGCCCAGAATCCCTGGGTATGTGTGAATACACAGGCATTTGTTTTTTTATGCTTACACCATGAATCAACTCAGTTGATTGATTATCTTCCTTGAACGTTAACAACATGCCTGCCACCCAATCAACTCCTGGCTAACCATGGTTAAGTGTGATTGGATGCTCACACAACCAATAACATGCTATGTCCAGCAAGGAGAGCCTCAACCTAGGTGACATCGCTGATGAAGATCAACCAGCGTACTGTTTCAGCAAAGACTGTATGGGTCTGCCATAGTGAGTGCAGCTATAGTATGTCTGTTTGGCAACTTGGCTTCTTCTTCGTCTTTTCTTTTTGGGAAAATTTTTGAAATGCCCCTGAAGACACACAACCAATAACATGCTATATCCAGCAAGGAGAGCCTCAACCTAGGTGACATAGCTGATGAAGATCAACCAGTGTACCGTTTCAGCAAAGACTGTATGGGTCTGCCATAGTGAGTGCAGCTATAGCATGTCTGTTTGGCAACTTGGCTTCTTCTTCGCCTTTTTTTTTTTGGGAAAATTTTTGAAATGCCCCTGAAGTTTGCGTTTATTTGCGATTTGCCCCTCCGACGGCCGACTTACCCTGATTTGCCCCTGTGACAGTTGCGAGGATCAGGGTCCTCGGTAGGCCTATGGGGCCCTGTTTGCAGCCTTACCCGCCCTAAGTGAAGGCGGAGGTGCCCGCCCTAAGTGAAAGCGGGCCTGGCATTTTGCAAGAGGCCCTCGACTGTCAATTTCATATTTGGGGTCCAGGCAGTTGCGACGCGCCAGTTGGTTGAAAGAAACACAGGCCGAGCACCGAAGACATTTCCACGGCCTATCGGGCCTTTCCAAAGAATGCAGGCCCTGGGCGTGATTCGCAGCCTCATACAGAGACAGTTGGGCGCCCAACCGAACGAGGCCCAGCAGCCCAGTAGCTGCTGCATCCAGGCAGCCTTCTGGGCCCAGGCCAGCCCAGCCAGGCTGCGAGAGCTGGCCAGCTCTTTTCCATAAAGGAAAGAGCTCTGGCCAGGCAGCTCATTCAGGCACTCGCATGCTAGCGGCAGCGCTGCTGGAGCAAAGGCTCGCGGCTGCTGGCTGGCGCTGAGAGGCGAGGTGCAGCACGTGCGGTCGTGCAGAGGAGGATGGCGCTGCTGAGGGCAGCGCCATAGCCCAGCCACCATAGCTGGTGGGCTTGGACAGTGAAGCGCAGGGGTGGTCTTCGGGTGAAAGAGAGGACAGGTGTAGGTGTAGTCAGGGGATAGGTGAAGGATGATGATGATGATGATGATGTGAGGGCACTTACCTTGTATTGGCGATGGTCTGCATGGGCGACATCTTCAAGTACTTCGGGCTGCCGCTGATGTCAACAGTTGCATTGTCTTTTTGTAGTCTGTAGTAGCTGTGTAGGAGTAGGCTGGGCGCTGAGCGCCAAGTGTGAGTGTGAAGGAACTGRACTCTTGTGTTGGGAGGAGAGAGTATGCTCTCCATGAACATTGGTTTTCAGTGCTATGAACCTCCATTGGTGTATTATTGGTGCAACGCTGCTCGCTGGACACGGTGTGACTATTTGGCTTTCAATGTGATGGTGTGATCTGGAATTGTCATCTCGCTGTTACTTATTTTTCTTGCACAGTGATTCAAGTTTCCGAAAAAACACTGGCGTCGTTTGGGCCTGAGACATTTTCAATATGCCCCTACCGGTACCGGTGCCAAATTTTCAGTTTGCCCCTACCGGATAGCCGTTCAGTACAGGCACAATAATTTTGCATATACCGGTACCGTGCCGTTGCTGGCAGTAACGGCTGTTCCCCTGGCCCTGGGAGGGG